ATTATTATTATTATTATTATTATTATTAGTATTAGTATTAGTATTAGTATTAGTATTAGTATTATTTAGGCTTCGTAGCAACACAATCTAAGATATGGCTTTGATGAACCACGCAATGTTTTTGATATCTCACTTTGTTATACTATTTATTGCATATTTTCATTTTATTTCTCACTGTACAACTGACAGTGGATGATGTTTCATGTGAAACATGTATTGTCTTCATTAAAAAATGAACTTCAAAAACATTGTGTGCTTCATCAAAGCCATATTATTATTATTATTATTATTATTATTATTATTGTTGTTGTTGTTGTTTCTATCTTTTCAAACCAGTTTAATTTTCATCAAGGGATAGGGGAAGAGGAGTCTGGGATTATTAACTTATTAGACCAACGAATATGGGGAAATTTACAGCAATTGCTTGCACGGGGCTTGACTTTCAGGAAAAACCTTGGGGCCAGGTGGCCCATAAGTTTTCAGATTAAGACACCAGCAAAAGTATTTTGGTAAAAAGTGTAAAACGTTAGTCGCCAGTGAAAGAAATAGGTCGCACTGGTAACCCCAGTGGTTGCAATGTCAAGCTCCGTTGCATGGCCTAGTGCAGATGAAGATGGACTTCAAAGTCATAGATCAGGTGTTTGAATCTATATGAGTATTAGAAAAAAAAAGTGTTATAGTATGGGAGTAACATGATAAATTCTGGAATGAGGTATGGGGTTGATATGGGATGGGGTAGGGTAGGGTACGATACATTAAAAAATTTCAATTTTCACACACTGCTGGGAGCCATGCCAAGCCGAACCATGCAGCCTTACTTTTATTAACATAACAACATAACATAGCTATCTTACCAAGGCGCAAAAAAAGTGGCTAGGAAATAAATTCACTGCAACTTAATAGACTCTAAAAATACTTCATAGGTGGGTGGGTGGGGCATTTTAGGCAATGGTGGTTTGCAAAACAAAAACTGGACCTTGTACAAGCCATGTGACCTGAAATCCCCTGTACACTTGTACATGTATAGGTAGCTCAATAAACACACTGAGATTCAGTATGTTCCCATCCTTCGAATTTATTATTAGATGATTGTTGGACTTTGTCAGGTTTGTCAATGTCCATTTGCATGCATGAATGACCACAATTAGGATGTAAAACAAATCCAGCAAAATCTACACAAGCAGACTACATGTATTTTACTTGGGGATACCGACTGAACAAGACTTAAACATGTCAACTTTATAATTATAAACCTAAATCACAAGCTTTGAAGACAAGATTTAAATATTGTTGGGATTTCTTACAACAGAGGATTGGAGGTGAAGATGATTGACATCTACCAAAACTAAACTTTCTGTCTAGATTTTCTGCTCTGAAGGTTGTGTGTGAATGATGACCATTGTAAGATGTTGCTGAGAATTAACTAACAACAGTTGCAGCCCATAACTTGTTTAATGACTGGCAAGACCCAAACCACAATCACATGCTTCGCTGTGTTCATTGTGTGTTTAATGTTATGTCCTATTTTTTTCTTTTTCCTTAAGCCTGGTCCAGGACCAGGTGTAAATGGTCTTGACCACCATGTTGATGACATTGAAAGACAAAAGGCAGAGCCCATGGACACTGTGTTTGTGCGGCAAGTGGCACCCAGTGGACCAGCAGACAGGGCAGGGCTCTCTACAGGTAACGCCTTAACATACAGAATTGTTTGTTTTTAGATGTTGGCACCTATGGTTACTGTGCATCTTTACTGACCACGTAATTCATGTCACAACATCATGCCATCTCATACATAAGGTGTGCGCGCTACTTAAAGAGGGAGAAATAAAAGCAAGTACCGGGTTTCATTTTTGAGGAGTGTTTACTCTCTTTCTGTACTTTTGGAGTAAGCTGTTTCTGTCGGAAGTGGTTCTGCATTAGACAGTTGCTCAAGATAGTAAAATTGGCTGTGAGAGTGTTCACAGTCATCACTCATTTCTGCCATTAATATTAAGTGCATCATTTTAGGGGACCAAGTGCCTTTCCAGTAGGGCCTTATGGGTCATATGATCATTGGTGTTTTCCCTCTATTTTTACATGTTTTGTCTGCTCTATGATGATCATGAAGTACAGCGTGATGTCATAAGCATGTAATGCTGCATTCCTTTTGGCCTGTGCCGTGGGTTATGGATTGCACTGGTAATTGGCCTCGAGCGCAGTGCCCACAAATTGTCTCTCAACTTTGTTTGGTTACCTTTTTCAGGTGACCAGATTGTTTCTGTTAATGGCCAACCAGTAATGGGAAAGTCCTATTCACAAGTGATTGAACTTATTCTATCAAGGTAAGAAAAAGTAACGAGAAATAATGTCAAGTACATGTATTACCAGGTGAGTGGTTCCCACATACAAAGTCTTGGACATGTACTTCTCAAACTTCAAATAATGTAATCATAAACATTGTATATGTACCTGTAGAAATTTGGTAATATGATGATTATATTTCATGGCGATTCTGATCATTCAATAGTGTATAATTAAACCAAAGTTATAGCCTCAAGAATTCATACCTCTTTTCCTGCCCCAACACATTAAGCATTTGGCCGCTCTCCCAGGGCTTGAAATTGCGACCAATACAGTCGCAAATTTGTGACTAGGTTTTGACTTGACTGACACAAATTAAAAGGGCTACTGCTAGCAGTAATCTCAAAGAAAAAAGGACATTGCTTGTGGATAAAAGACACAATTTATGCGAATAGATATAAAACAAACCCATGATTTTTGGATCACCTACTGGATCACCATGTTTCATTATTCTAAGGCACACCAAAGTAAACAACTCTCTCTCTCTCTCTCTCTCTCAAAAACTTCAAAATGACTATCCCTGTTTGAAATTGCCCTATAATGCATTGCAAACCCTTGAGCATTGAGTATGTCATGTATGTCTATGGATTGTGTCTCTTCTATTTGACTTTGCGACTAAAAATTTACATTTAACAACTATTTTTTACCACTTAGTCGCCAAATGGTGACTTAAAGTGCACCTAACCCCAAAAATTTTTTTGGCTAAAATGAATCTACTTGTTATTTGAAATAGTTCTGCGAAAAAAAATTTGGATTCTGTTAAATCCTCGATTTTCTGTGCCCCGACGAAATCTCTAAAATAGCTCCAAAACACTGCCATTTTGTTTCAGTCCGAGTTTGAGGAGAATGGGTCCAGCGGCTCTTGTGATGTCTACCCAGGAAGGTTGGATATCTCACGTCCTCTCATTTCCTTCAGGATGGTNNGCTTGAAATATTGTAAACTGCTCTCAAAGCTCTAAGCAGTGAGTTCACAGTTGTCGAACATGCTCGATCGAAGTTTATTTCAGAGCCTTCCAAATCAAAACCTAACTCTGACTCCAGTGACGAAAAAGAAATGACTCTGAGACAAAACTTGGATGTTTTAGTCCCAAAATACATCGGAACAATTAGTTTTGCGTTCCATTTTCTTGAGCAAATACAGAGAGTTGACTGAGGCGCTATTGTGTTTGGTTCTTGGGTAGACGTCATCAGGTACTGCTGCCCCAGACTCCCTAAAATGCGATCGTGAAACACTTCAAACGCGACTTTGAAAGGGCATAGAAAATCGAGGATTCAACCAAATTCAAAAATTTCTTCGCCCAAATGCTTCAAATAAAGTCTAGATTCATTTTAGCGAAAAAAAATTTTGGGGTTAGGTGCACTTTAAGGATTTTGTTAATTTCGAGCCCTGTCTCAGAGCAAGGAATTCCCAGTAAAGGAAAGTAATGCAAATTTCAGAATGAGGGAGATTATTGTGAGAACCTTATTTGTTGAGAGAACAGAACATATTTATCACAATGTTAGTTGAATTGTCCCAAAATGTAAAGCTTAAAGTGCAGAAATGTGGCCTCTGAGGGTTCTTTAGGATTGCGACTTTGATAAAATAATGCTTTTTCCTTTTTTGTCCCAAACCATTTGTACAATTCCTTTGTCAGCTTTGCATGGCATGGTAAAGTCTGCATGCGAGCCAAGTGGCCCATCAGGCCGGAGCTTATCCCGGTTTCTGTAGCATGAAGCGACTAGGAGTATTTCTACTCCCCCCTGGATGGGATGCTAGTCCATCGCNAGCACACTAACCACGAGGCCACCGCGCCTCCCCTTTTGCATGGCATACTACTGAGAAATGAATGTTGAGAAAAATCACTGCTATTTAAACTTAAGCAAATTTTTAAAGTTATGTTAACTTTGTGAAACATTAAATTCCTATGATAAGGTAGATACAGTGTGCATACAACAACTAATGGGTGTGAAAAATCATTTGGTCTTTTAGCCAAGAACTGCTGGAGTTAGGTATTATTCCTAAGGAAGACTGTGTTCTTCAGATGGTGAGTGACTGAGAAATGTCATAGAAGTAAATAGTACTTAATACTGGGTTAGCTGACCAGGTAGTCAGTAAATTACTACTGTCTACACAGATGATCTGCACTGACTCTGATAATTGCAGTGACACATTTACATTTAGTAAACAACTGAATATTATTGACAAACCTTGTGGCTCGTGCCATTTTAAAGGCATTTATGTGGTAAGGCAAGTTAGAATGGCAGCGTGTCTGTATGGTTGGGGTGTCAGACTTGAGATGCGGGGGGTGCGTTCTTACCACCAAGCTGGAGTTGTTTCCCGGTAGTCCCTAGTTCATCTCCCTGGTCTTGCTTGTACATGTAAATAGCCAACTGGTCTGCCTCTCACTGGAGTTTTAAGCCTATTATATTTAATTGAAATATATTTGTTTCTTTCAATTTAAGTGGCAGGCTTGAAAACTATCTAGGTGTAGCTAAGTGCATCGACCACTGCAATTTTTTTTATTTTTTCCTGTTTTTCTAGTCATTCCTTGCCCAATTTGTTATAAATTTACTCACATATAACAAGCATAGAAACTCATGCTAGTCCGTGTGTGCTATATGCTGCATACATGTACATGTACTGTGCATGTAACCAAAATGTAACTAAAAGTAGTTGAACCACTTTTAGAAAATGATACATGTACTTACAATACTTTAAATCCCTTATTTTAATTCAAAGACATCTACGGACAATTTTCTGATGTGCCTGACCCCTCCAGTTCAAAGTAATTCTGTTGCTGTGGTCTGGATAGTCTGCATGCTCAAAAAGAGAATTTTACAGTGAAGTGTCGCAGTAGTTTTGTCACACATTGTAGTCCCATACTCGGGTCGTGACATGTGAACTTTGCTACAACCATTTGTATACAAATGGTTTTAGCAAAGTTAACACTATTTTCAATCATCCATTGGAAGAGTTGCATGTTTTGAAACAGTCAGTCACCTCCAAATTTGTGATTATTGATTTGTATTTCTCTCTGTTCTGTGTTATTTGAACTCTGGGGTTTTAAAAGAACAACTGCATGTTGTCATTCAAGTTCATTCAGTAAATCTTATTTTGTGTGTTCTTTTAAGGTAACTCCCACACTCTCCATTTCTCCAAGCATTGCTGTTGGTGCCCACGAAATTAGCCAGTCTCCTCCACCTGTCAAACCTAAACCAATGTTTAGACGTCTGTCGAGCCATGACAGCCCAGCAAGGGTCATGTCAACAGTGACAATAAACCCTGCAAACTCATATCATTTGAAAATGTCGGACAAAAACTCTCAGAGTTCCGTTGACAATTCTACTCCAGTTGTTACACTAAGGCGTGGCTCTGTGGATAGAACTGCCATGGAGAACAGGAGTTTTGTGATCACCTCTGAGAGTATGGATTATAACAGCAATTTGAAGTCAAGAAGTTCCAGCACTCTGGAAAGTAGTGCTGTGAATTCGCCCCGCATGGATGGCTCTTATTTTATGGCTGCAACTGATTCTACAGGAAGACCGCTTGCACTTCGCTTTGAGAAAGGTTCAAAAATGGGTAACACACTGACAGTGTTGGAAGATTCCAGAACAAAGACTCGTTCTCATTCTCTACCAGTGGTAGAAATGCAGGGATTTGGCGAGCGAAACAGAACCAGTAGCAATTTATCTGATGTAGATAGAGTTAATTCCATGAACTTAAATGATGGATATACATCAAATGAAAAGAGTCATGGGTCAGTCAGTATCCCACCATTCATGCTGTCAGCGCCTAGAACAGTAGCCTCTGATAGCCCTTCAACAACATACATGAACACAAGCCCAGACATGGGCTCTCGTCAGCCTGTGGCAACTGATCCAGGCTACAAGAAAGGACGAGCATCATATGAAGAAACCACATCTTACCTCATTAGAACAATTGCCTCTCACATGAATAAAGATCGTCAGGGAGGTTTAAAGTCCTCCACTGTCGGGGCAACACTACTTGAGAGCAAAGAAGGACAACCTTATAGGCAGAGTGGTGGTAATGAAAGATGGACACCACCAGATTCAAATACTGAACTGTACAAAGATGCAGATTCTCCACATCCAGCAAAAGTACCACGTCAAAGTGAGGACCAAGTAAAGCAAGGGGCCTATTCAAGCCAAGTGGCCATCTTCCCAAACAAACCTGCTTTTGATGAAATGCATTTCACACCGACAGTTGGAACCACTGACATGGAGTCTTCTGCTGTAAACAAACAAGGCAGTCCAAAGCCACGACGTGTGTCATACCTGATGGCAACTTCTCGAGGGAGCTCAACCTTGTCAGACCAGAAAATCTGGTCAACTGCTCCTCAAGGCAAAAAGCCTGGGAAATCATCTTTGTTTGAAGCATTCTCTACCATGTTACCACCAGTCATGGTGCATGTTTCATCTGGGATGGAGCTCTGTGAGGATGTCAATGGAGAAGAGGGGATGGAGATACCTACCAACGAGCAGGAGGATGAGGTGTGTACAGTGCACTCATGACACTTTGACTGCAAAGCTCAAATTATTAACCGCGATTGGGGTCTTTACAGGAAAATTTCAAACGGAGACCTCACTGTGTTGACTGCGCAATAGCGAGGTCAATACTGCAAGGCAGAGGTTTGAGATTTTCCCATGAAGACCGAACATTTGAGAGGGAGAAAAATGCCCTAGAATTAGCCAATCAGAGCATGTTTTACATCGGCTACAAACACAAGCCACATAATAGTGCAGTTTATTGTACATCTCAGATAGTATGCATACTGTGTTTGGTCTTTTCTGACCATTACGTAACTTGTATTCCTTTGCTGATGAATTTGTCAATTCTCGGCACCTGTATTCTTGATATTCCCAGGTATTCTCAGTCTCAGCCGATGAAAAGTCTGGTACTGAAACTACAGTGCAGCGCTCCAACCGACGTACCTCGTATGTGATGGCTACTTCATCTCCATCATCACCCAGACGTGAAGCATCATTGGAAGCTACAAAAGAGGAAGAGGTAAACAACAGTACCAGGCTCCCCTGACTGGAGAGCTTACTTGTTTGTTTTACATGTAGTAATCAGGGTTGATCGTCTCTGTTAACCATTAATAGCTATTTGAAGCAATGGAATTCAAAATGGCCGCCATATCAGTAAAAAGAGCTATGTAGTGCATATTCATGTGAAAGGACATTCTTGGGCCTTCCCAAGCCGAACTAGAAAGGAAATTAGAAACCCTTGACAAATTTTGCGTGTACTAGCCCCCCCCCCCTAACTCCCAGATGTTTGTGCTCTGAAAATGTTCGTGCTTGCAATTCGTTCTTTAGCCAGCAGAAGAGAATACTTACATGTATCAGTGTTATCACTGTTTGCTGTACTTGTTGTTAATATTATCGTTCTTGTACACTGTAAGGAGAGGTTTTTACTTCTGGAGAATTCATTGTTAAGTGAAGAGCAGTGTTTGCTATTTTGGAACATTACATCTGATTGATGTACACGTATGTCATAGATCAGGGCAGGAAAAACATTTTGAAATCCAGTTGCCCAGTGGGCCAGTACCTTTCATTTTCCAGTTGCTCCCACTAAAATATTACTTGGTCAATAGGCATGCAATGTTTATGGCTTGTCAACTAAAAAGACTACAGGAGCTAATTTCACTTGCCCATTGGACCACCAAACGTCCATTTTCACTTGTCCAAGAGCAAAATTTAGTTGCCCTGGGCAATCAGACCTGGGCTTTTTTCCTGCCGTGGAGATAAAACTGGTCACTGAGATACCATCATCATCATCATTTCTCGTCATGCCAGTAGGCCAACACTCCCTGTTCCGTGCCACCGCTTTGGCTACTTCCCAGCTCTTCCACCCTGCCTTGTTTCTTTCCTTCTCCACCGTCCTTCTCCAAGTTGTCTTTGGCCTCCCTCTCGCTCTTTGACCTTCTGGTGTCCATCCCAATGCTGTGAGGCAGTCGTTCACACCCTCTCTCCTGAGTATGTGTCCCAACCAGTTCCACCTTCTTCGTCGTACCTCACAGCTTATGTCATTGACCTCTGCCATTTCAACCACTTGGTCACTGAGATATACGTGTTCTCAAATATGATCATTGTTGTGATTTGTAACCTTCAGTTTTGACATGGAACTTAATATTTTGCAGACATTAAACTTTTTCTTATGTTGTTATTATTCCAGGAAAACAAAGAGAGGGGTGAGCAAATTCCTGGCATGTTAGAAGTAAGTGTTTTCTTGGTCAAAATTCTGTACCTAAATGCAAGTGACAAGAAATTTAACTGGAAGAAATGTTCTAATACTTATTATGCACTTGTACATGTATATGACATTGCCAGAAATATCATATTGTATTAAATTGTAGCTTCGGCATAACCACCTTTTTATGCCTTTTTCTTGTGGGCTAACTTAGCTTATTTGGCCTGCCCTGGTCATAATGAAAAAGTATCTACTTGCTATCTATAGAGGGCAATCAGGGATGTAGCTAAAAAAACTCTAAGCAGGCTCATTACAAACCCAGCTGGCTTTTCTGGCTCTTACTCCTCCAACGTCTCCCCAAGTCTTTGCTTTTGTGTTAAATTTAAGCCACATTTAAGTTCTCTTCCAGGCAGTGAAATTAGCCTGCAGCCTGCCTTTTTTACACCCCAGTCAATGGTATTAATTAATTTTTTTTTTGTTTTCATTTGTACATGCTGTTGGGAGTGAAGGTTGTTGTTGTTGTTGTTGTTGTTGTTGTTGTTGTCACTAAGTGCTTTGATTGTATTTGTTCCAGGTGTGCAAAGAAGGTCTACTTTGGAGAAAAGTGGCTGTAGTGGATGGGGGAAAGGTACAGGCAGTATAATTACATCTAGTTCACCAGTAATCCCTTTTGGAACAGATCCAGAGGGTTTCCTTACTTTGATCAGTCCTTTTATTTACATCACCAGTATGCTTAGAGGTTTGTGTTCAGATTTTGACATTAGATGCTAATAACTGCCTTGGCTGAAATGATAGAGCTCTGTTTATAACAGTTACTTTAAAATATTATTGTGCCCCATGCACTTTGCCTGTGGTTGCTGTTTTGCAAACTTGGGACTTTCAGGGCATCAAGAATAAAAAGCCAGGTCCGCTTACCCAGGACAAGTAAATTTTGCTCTTGGGGAAGTGAAAAATAAATTAATAGCATTTTGGAGGATGGGTGGGCAAGTGAAATTAACTGCAGTAGTCTTGTGAGTCTGATGTCAGCTTGACAGATGATAATTTCCAGTCAGAACTATTTCAAAATCTAAGACTGCAATGTGAGTGAAAAGATGAATGAGTTCAAAGCCTGGATTAATTTAAAATTCATGTGCACTTTGTTTGTGTTTGCTCTCTCAATATTGGCCATATTGGCAAGTGATATTTAAGTGGAACAAGTGAAAATGAAAAATCCTTGAGCCACTGAGCACGTGGATTTGAAATTTTTTTCCGTGGCATGACTGTTTTTTCTTCCTAACTCTGGTGTCTGTACATATAACTCAGTCTTGTGAAATAACATTGAGATTTTAATTACATGCATTATTTTTTAGCGTTCCAGTGCAAGGTCTTGGAAGCCCGTGTTTGCTGTTCTGCGAGGCCATGTTCTCTACTTACATAAAGACAAAGGGACGGCCCATCAAGTGAGTGTTGATATAAAGGAAATTCACTAGTTTCCAACAGGGGTTTCATTAACAGACAGGCAAATTGACGGGCTGTGAAGACAATTTTGCCCAGCTGATTTGCCCGTAATATATAGAAGAAAGTTTTTCTTACAAAGAAGTTCAGTTCTAATAGTTTCACTTGCCTGTGAAAACCAGTTACCCTCCTGCTGAAAACATTAATGAAACCCCTGGTTTCCAATTACACTGGACAGGGTCATACTCAATGTAGCTACTCTGTCAAATTGTGCTATTTTAATTTGAAACCCTTTACAAGTGTGGAACATTTGTGCATTTGCCAATGTTAGGAGTCAGTGACCATGTATAAACCATGTGGGTTGCATGACAAGTGCAGGTGCCTTTTGGACTACATGTATGTGAAAAGTTTCTCTATTTGCAGTGAGTGATTCAGATGGGCTGATGATATGATATTGTTTTTTTCCAGGAGGATAGCTCTGATGAACAGCCAATCAGCATCAAGTCCAGCATCGTTGACATTGCTCATGACTACACTAAAAGGAAGAATGTGTTCAGAATGACAACTTTTAATGGATCAGAGTTCTTGTTCCAGGTAAAGTTTTGAGTGAACTAAATACTTTATACTACAGAGTAGAATGAATCTTCAGTTCCTTTTCTTTTGTTTTCACATTGTAATTAAGTAGCACCTGGTGTAAATAAGAAATGTATATTGTAGGATGGATGTAGTAATAGCACAATACTTTGTTATTGTAATTTGTGATACGTGTAATTTGTTAAAGGTGTATTAATTTAAATAATAGTAATGAAAAAAAATACAATGTAGCTCTGTTATGTTTCAGACCGAGGATCATGACTCCATGATGTCGTGGATTGCGGCCATCCAGACCAATAACAACCCTGATGAAGATGTAAGTGTGTTCTTTGTAACTAATGGTACTAGAACAGATCACGTCTTTAGTTTTTGCATGACCATACAAAGTGGTTGGCTTCCAAAACCCCCTTGCAGTCCAATCAGAAGTTCCTGCATTAGGATATCTTTTTCATTACTGCGTCTGTTAACCAGTGTTGCCAAAAATGATGTTTCCTTTTGTAGAAAACTTTACTGGATTTTCTTACAATGACAGCTTCACAATGCTCATTCGTTATTTATTTCCAGCACATTGTGTAAAAATGTTACCTTTTTTTAGGAGAACGGTGTGAGCAGTCAGAGTTTGATTATAAGAAGAATGAAAACAGTGGAGCAAGAGACATCTGGGTGAGGACTTTATTGTTGTCAGCACTGCATGTAGATTGTGTTGGGGGTCATAGCTAGTAACAGGCAAGCCAAACTTGCCTCGATAAAAAATTGAATTTATTTAGTTCAAGTTCCCCTAAGAGGCTATGCATTATTGAAAAAAATAGATCAATAAATCAATTGGACTAGCATGCCAACCAGCTGAATGTACCTAATCAAATGTTTTTGGTACACGTTGGTGACATATCAGGCAAGTTTGCTCTGGCCATGGTTTGCATTTTGGCGAGATGTAGTTGAGCCAAAATACCCATGGCAGGTGAACCTAGTACCCAGGACAGTAGACACGGCTTCTGAAGGGCTAATTGCAAATGCAGGTATGGTAAGTTACTGTAGCTCAGTGTCCCTAGCTTTCTTATGCTAAGATATTAGAGTCTATTACGGTTGCTTGTGGAGTTGTGGTGGCCTCATGGTTAGTGTGCTCCCCTCTGGATGAAGCAGACCGGGTTCAAGCCTTGGCTGGGGACATTGTTTGATGGTCTTGGAAAAGACAATGTAGAGTGCCTCTCTCATCCCAGGTGTATAAATGCGTACCAGTGAACTTAATGCTGGGGGTAACCCTGTGATGGACTAGCATCCTATCCAGGGGGAGTAGAAATACTCCTAGTTCACTTGGCTTGCATGCACACTTCACCATAGAGTTGTAACAGACTTGTTTTACATAGCCAAGATAGGTTTTGTTTCAGAAGAAATGTTTTCTGTGGTGCCATAAGGTGAAGTTCTCTTTCACTTGATATCATTTGTCAAGAGGGAAAACATGACCAGTGACAGTATTGCTTGTTATCCCATGTAGGTCAAATACTGCTTCACCCAGTCACAAGTTATCACCTCCAGTCAACACCAAGATACCTGGTATACCTGGAATATCAAACATCAAGAAAAGCTTGTCTTTCAAGAACATCACTGCTGGGCAGAAAGGTAACAGTCAATGTAGTTTGCAGCTCTATCCAGTCACACCTCCTGTAAGTGGAGACCTTGAGAACAGAAAGGCTAAAGGACCATGATGAAGTGTTCAGTTCTTTTGTGCTCAGTAGTCATTGTGAGAAATTTGTTGTATGCTCTGCCGTTCCAGGCAATGTCCATATCCCGCTCAGGGACGTTTTTTTGGTGGTTTGACCCCCCAAACTCCCCCGGAAATTCCAGTTCAGCTTTTGCATGTACGTTCCTTNCCCCCCCCAATTTACCACCATGGAGTTTCAATTTAGGCTTTGGCTTGGAATTGCCATTCAGGAAGAATGTGTTTCATTAGAAGTTTACCCAAAAGTCTGCCATTTTGGGTGTGTTGCAAAATTTGTCTTACCTCTGAAAGCCAAAAGACCAGTAACTGGACAGGTGCAACATATGCATAACAGTAGTTTTAACACGAATTTCTATTCAAAATGTTCCAACCACTAAAAACAAGAATAAGAAGTAAAACCAAAAATCAATCGGGACTCTTTCTAACATTGTTTCCTGCAATAAGATACATTTTTTGATGAGTCATACATGTACCGATTAACCTCCAAACTGAAATTTCAGGAACTTTTGACTAAATAGAAAGCACATCTTTTTCTTTCCAGATCTCCATTCATTATCTACAATCATAGCTGTTAGAATAAAATGGAAGTGTTCCTTGTATACCAATCAATTTTTCCATAAGTGATTAATCTGTTGATTCTCTTCTTCTCTTTTGGTTTGCAGGACATTCTGTTGGAGTACCTTTGGAGTTGTGCCCAGCATCAAAGAACAACAAGGTGGGTTAAAAGAGACAGACATACATGTACATTTTGAAATTATCTACCACAGCTGCCATGACGTAGAATTGGCCGATTTTTGTAGGGAGGTCTCAAAGTATAACCATAGGCGAATGAGCGGGGGAGGGGAGGGAGGGGGGGCTGCAGTCCCCCCAGCTACGGTAATTACGTGATTTTTCGGGTAGAACGCTCATGATTAGGGCAACGACACTCGAGGGAAGACATTAATGCTGTTTGCGTGATATCCAAAACTCGTAAATAAAGTTTCTAGTTAGTTATTTTTTTCATATTTTTTTCTTTTAATAAGTTTTAAATTTTACCTGAATTGAGACTGTTGATAGAGTATGATTGATTGATTATGTAAGCTTTGAACATACCTACACGTCTTTTTGAAATTACAGCAGTTTCATCAGATGTGGGAATTGTGAAAATGTTTGTTTTTCATGCAATTTGAGTGCATTTGCATCCTGATTTCAACACTCACGCATTCGGGTATTGCGTAACTTTTTTGGGCAAGAAAGTCGCCACCCCTCCAAGTCCGAAGGTGTCCGTACGCCTATGAGTATAACTGCTGGAAGGTGTTGGATACTGTTGCCTGTCACTAACCTCACTATTTACTAAGCCAAGTGTGTTTGTCTTTGCAGTTTGTGCCTTTAATCGTAGAACACTGTTGTGATGTTGTAGAGAGAAAAGGACTCGAGACTGTTGGTGTCTATAGGTGAGCTATTCAAGTCAATACAGAACCGGAACGTCTGTTATAAATCAAACAACAAGACAGTACGNATAGAGTATGATTGATTGATTATGTAAGCTTTGAACATACCTACATGTCTTTTTGAAATTACAGCAGTTTCATCAGATGTGGGAATTGTGAAAATTTTTGTTTTTCATGCAATTTGAGTGCATTTGTATCCTGATTTCAATACTCACGCATTCGGTCATTGCGTAACTTTTTTGGGCAAGAAAGTCACCACCCCTCCAAGTCCGAAGGTGCCCGTACGCCTATGAGTATAACTGCTGGAAGGTGTTGGATACTGTTGCCTGTCACTAACCTCACTATTAACTAAGCCAAGTGTGTTACTCTTTGCAGTTTGTGCCTTTAATCGTGGAACACTGTTGTGATGTTGTAGAGAGAAAAGGACTCGAGACTGTTGGTGTCTATAGGTGAGCTATTCAAGTCAATACAGAACCGGAACGTCTGTTATAAATCAAACAACAAGACAGTACGTCATGCTTCTGGCATCAGATGTCAATCGTTAGGTTGCTGCCCAGTATTTTCTGGAGCTGTCCCAATGAATGGCCAGACGCCTTGTGTGCACCTGGGTGGTGTCAGCGAGAGCCAAAGTAAAGTGTCTAGCCATGTACCAAAACAAAAATTGCGACGATACTTAATTGATACTTTCTCAAGGAAACTACCATCCGTGTATATATGACTAATTTGTATACTAAGACTACTTTTAAGATCAAACCAAGATCGTTGTTAACATGCAGTTTTCTTTGTTTCCTTTTTCCTTTTTTCCTCTTTTCTTTTTTCTTTTTCTTTTTGTACCTCCTTCTACATTGTTTTTTTTTTTATTGTCAAATGTTTGTAGAGTTCCTGGTAATTCTGCTGCGGTAACTGCTTTGCAAGAGGAGCTAAACAACAGAGGAATTGAGAATGTTTGTCTCGAGGAAGAGGTAATGGGACGTTCATTCCACCCTTATAAGTTTTTACGGGTTGAGCAGCTTTTTACATGAGAAACAACCAAAAAAAAAAATTGATATACAATGTAGGTGCAATTCCTCTCAAAACTACAACTCGTGGGATAAAAATCAAGAACAAAAACTCAAGGTTAGGGTGTAATGGCTGATCGCATATCAGAATTATGACACGAACTGAATTAGATAAGAGGTTCCTGGTCAGATTTAGAATGAAGGATTTTCAGTTTTTATATTGCTTACTATGTATTGAAATGTGCTTGTCATTATACTGAATCTCATTTGAATTAGTCTTTTCAAGTCAGAGTGAGTGCTTTTAACCATTGCTTTCTCTATATACAGAAGTGGAATGATGTAAACAACATCACCAGCCTTTTGAAACTGTTCCTACGAAAATTACCAGAAGGTCTTGTTACTGCAGGTAATTTTAAAAACTGTTTTCACCTCATCTGTAGATTCTTTTACTACTTCAAATTACTTTCATTGCTTTATGAATTGGTTTCTCTCCTCTTTCAGTATTATTGTGAAACATGTATTCCACCTACTTTCAATACTTTTCAACAGCCCTCGGTTGTCTTGTGTTTACTTACACAGACGTGATCGAAAAATGAGATAAACTAGATAATTGCATAATTTGGAAGGTTTTTACAGAACACAATGACCCTTACTGAAATAAACCCCCTTATGATTCCCCCAATCAAGTATTTCCTCCTGAAGTTGCTTTCCTTTCCTCCACGGTGGGAAACTTTTTAAATTGTGTACAGGGGCAGATCCAGAAAATCCTGAGAGAAGGGATCGAAGAAATTGCTACGAAGCGTAAGCCATCCCCCTCCTCAAACCGAATGAAAAATGGCGCTCTAGGGACGGTTGGTCATGTTCTTTTTCCAAAATACAAAGAAAGGGAGTGGCCCCCTCCCCGCCCACCCCCCCGCCCCATACTAAATCAGCCCCTGGCATAAAAGCTTGATGAGTGGTTGCATTTCAGTGTGTTTTCCGAATTTAACTTCACAGATTTGTACGATGCATTTATTGAATCAAATAAGAAAGAGGATGTAGCAGAGAGAATGTGGTCAATACGATCTGTGGTAAGTGTGTTTGTGTGGGTGCAAGTGTCCGGTGCAGCAACCACTGAAAATCTGTATTGTATGGGGACAACAAGGGGAAGGATTTGTCTTCTTGCTTTTATTCTGATAAGATATTTCCATCCAAAGTCTTATTCCAGTGATTTCCAAGAGGGTTCAAGGATAGTCATACGAGGGCATTGTGAGCCTTGAATGTAAAAAAATCCATATGGCATATTTATAACTAAATATGGCATATATAGTTACACTTCGGAGTAGGCCAGCATCCATGTACAAATTTCACGTAAGGTAAAAGAGGTCAAGTCTGCGTCTGACCAAGTGGTTCACACTGCAAGAGCTTATGCCAGTTCCTGTAGCAGTAATCAAGTATTACTACTCCCCCCTGGATAGGATGCTAGTCCATAGGAGTGCTACCTCCAGCGTTAAATTCGCTGGTGCCCATTTATAAACATGGTGGAGAAAAGCCTCATGTCTTGCTCAAGAACACAACGCAACGAACCCGAGTAGGGCTTGAACCCAGACTGCTCAATCCAGAGTCCACTGCGCTTAACATTGGGTCACCTTGTTTCCCACGAGACATATTTCCTTGTTTGCCTTTCCGTCAATAGTGACTGAAAACGTTGCGTGTATCGTAATAATGTTCTGCAAAATCTTGGGATTAAACCTCTGTTGGACCAGTAAGCATCGAATTAAGAGAAAAAAATGCTGCTTGAGCCGATGTCGTTCTCAAAATCTAAACAACACCGTGTAATACACTGTTTCAAGTTAGACGATCTACTTATTGTGCAAGAAGCAATGAAATTATACCCTAAATGCCCTTTTTTTCTTGTTTTCTGTAGGTGCAAGAATTACCAGATCATAACTTTGAAACACTCAAGCTTCTTGTGCATCATTTGAAACTGGTGTCAGACAACTGTGACAAGAACAAGGTATTGTTGATAAGTCTTCACTTTCGTAATTAACGTCCGCAGTGCCCCATCTTTTAGCTCGTACGAAGTATTCATATATCAGACCGTTGTTAATATGTACTTCACATTAGGAATGTTTGCCACTGTCCCAAAGCCGCTGTGGTTTGTGGATCAGCTTATTGGCAAAGTCCGTGCTATACGGGCATCTTTCTGTCTAGTTCTGCTTTGCAGGTGAATATATGAAAGATCATATATTTGAACTGTGGAGAAACNAAAAAAAAAAAAAAAAAAAACCAAGAAGGAAAAAAATTAGTGGAGTGACTGGTCAGGAGACAATTTTTGTCGTACTTTAGGATGTATTTCAGTTTGCCTTGTCATAGCAGAATTCTGCTTTATCTGTGGGCAAGTGAAACATGAACTTCACTATAGAGGTCAGTAAAGACAATAAGCTGAATTGTCATAGTGTACTTTTAAGAAGAGATTTTGAGCAACGCTTAACGTTGAGCCATAGAGTAAGGACTAACATTCGACTTTTACGGTGACAGTTCTCAAGTTGATATTCAGCTTAATCCCTCAAACTAACTATACTGTTTGTGGCTTACTGTTTAGATGGAAGTGCGTAATCTGGCGATCGTGTTTGGCCCGACCATCATTAGGACTGGAGACGATTCGATGATGGCCATGGTAAAGGACATGTCAGACCAGTGCCGAATAGTCGAGACACTTATATCAGAGGTGAGATGACCTCAACATGCGAGTAGTCCAGCATCTCTTCTCAAACT